GACGACACGCAATCAGGTTACGACGACACGCCGTCAGGGTTACGAAGACACGCAATCAGGTTACCACGACACGCCGTCAGGGTTACGAAGACACGCATTCAGGGTACAACGACACGCATTCAGGGTATAACAACACGCGATCAGGGTACAACGACACGCAATCAGGGTACAACGACAGGCCGTCAGGGTACGACATGCAATCAGGTCACGACGACACGCAATCAGGTTACCACGACACGCCGTCAGGTTACGAAGACACGCAATCAGGTTACGACGACACGCAATCAGGTTACGACGACACGCAATCAGGTCAGAAGACAGCAATCAGGTTACGACGACACGCAATCAGGTTATGACGACACGCAATCAGGGTACAACGACAGGCCGTCAGGGTACGACATGCAATCAGGTCACGACGACACGCAATCAGGTTACGACGACACGCAATCAGGGTACAACGACACGCAATCAGGTTACGACGACACGCAATCAGGTTACGACGACACGCAATCAGGTTACGAAGACACCAAATCAGGCTACGAAGACACCAAATCAGGTTACCACGACACGCAATCAGGTTACGAAGACACCAAATCAGGCTACGAAGACACCAAATCAGGCTACGAAGACACCAAATCAGGTTACGACGACACGCAATCAGGGTACAACGACAGGCCGTCAGGGTACGACGACATGCAATCGGGGTACAACGACACGCCGTCAGGTTACGACGAGACGCGTAACGAAGACACGCCGTCAGGGTACAACCACACGCCATCAGGGGACAACCACACGCAATTAGGTTACGACGACACGCCTTCAGGTTACAACGACACGCAATCAGGGTACAACCACGCGCAATCAGGGTACAACCACACGCAATCAGGGTACAACCACACGCAGGCAAATCTGAGTAAAATTCAAGCACTCTTACAAGATTAGACGCCTTTTACGACAAACATGAATGCTGAAGACCAGTTCTAATCATCACAGGGATGACTGTAGAGGAGTAGTGAAGGAATATCGAATACTATGACGTCCCTCGAAAAGATTCATACAAAGGTTTAATGTCCATTTTATGCACATGATCTGTTACTCTAGGTTTATTTACATAGAAATATTGTTTTTGTTTTTCTATTTCGCTCTTACATTTATGTCTTATTTTCAAGGGTTGGATCCTCGGTCGCGTTATACCAAAAGACGTTAAAGGACAGTACTTGTTACCCTGCTTGGTAGTCGGCATTAAGATAAAACGAGGACTGGTCGGCTCGGAGTCAGCATACTGTGTCTGAGTGCCAAATTCATGGTAAACTGCACCATGGCATCTGAGTGTTCTAGCCCGAGAATCCCAGGTGGTCAAAGCCGAGTAAACGTCAAGTAAAAAATATGAGTCAACTTAGTATCACAAAATGTGACGCAAGTGATAGATAAGTAGCACTTCCAATTTTGTAATTCGAATGGACCAAGTAGTGTGCTTCTAAGATCAAAAGTCAGATCCGAGATATTTTACATGTTATTTCAGTGCCGTTGTCGATGGTATCTCATATGAAATATAAGTGTTACTTTGTATTGTCCTAATAAGAAATGACATGACTATAAGTTAAAACTAATAATGTATAACTCTGAACCATTATCATCTTTTTCAAGCATTTTCGGGGACAATGTATTTTTTTCGGTAAAATCCCAGGCCGCCCCAGAATAGCAAATGGTCGGCCCCTAAGGGACGCAACTCTGATCAGTGTACTACGTTCTGAACCCATTCGGCCATTCAACTCACAATGTGATAGTGATGCAGAAAAGGCCGTAGGAGTACAGGTCTCCAGCAACCTGTGCTGGTAGTACAACACGAGGAGACTGAATGGATCACCCGAGGATGACTTCGTCCCCGTCGATGTGGACCGATGCTCATAATATCAATCTGGTTTGTCATGTCCAGACTCGATTATTTACAGGCCGCGGTTATTATTTACAGTTAGCTGTATGTGATTCTCTCAAGCGGCATGTCTTGCTGGGTGAAGTGAGGTAAGGTGAGTGAGATGAGACGGGGAACACCGGAAATGGGCTTCACACATTGTAGCCGATGACGTCAAACACCGGATGACGTTTTGGGTACGCTGCCATTCCACAGGAGACATTGTTCCAGTTCCTGGCGATTGATGTGAGCCGCTGGTCGTCTTCTGATCTGTCGGTCAAGGTGATCAAATTACATGTTTGATGGGTTTCATATCAGAACATCCTGGCCTGGGTAAAACGTGAATATTCGCGTTGTTCAAACAGTTCTGAGTTAGCCTTGTCGTATGCAGCCTCGTATTGTCTTGCTTGAAGACAATGCCACACGTGGCCTTGCTGAATGAAGGGTTGCACGGATCTCAAAACTCCATCCCGATAGCTCTGGGCGTTCATATTTCACTGAATAATAACGAGCGTGATTCTGACATCCAGACCTCCCCAGGCCGCCTCCGATTGGTTGAACTTGCTGAAACCAATTCCGTGCTAAACGTTCACCTATCGCCCACATACTCCCTGCCGACCATCATTTCTGTAAAAGCCATATCTACGCACATCGGGGAACACGACGCGTACCCACTCTCGCATTTGTCAACGTCGAACTCCTCTGGCCCATGTCAACCAGTTACGTCGGTGTCTTAACGTCACTCCGCGGTAAGGTCGACGTGCTCCGATACCACGTTCTCTTAATCTCCTTTACCCTGTCTGTCGACCTGTGTACCTGTGCCGTCGCTGCCGTTGCCGTCGCTGCAATAAAGTGGTTTCGGAGATGAATTGTCCTCTTCAGAGGGCGTGGTCTCCCACTTCTTCGCCTGTCTGGTGTCTGTCTTGTCTGTTGTTAACGTTGCATCAATCTAGTATACGGAATGGTGACACGGGTGCATAGAAACGTTCTTGCAATGGCAGCGTGCGTGTCTCTTTCTTGCGTCGTACCGGCACTCGTGAAGAGCAACCTCCTCGTGGTGAGTGCTGGGTAGCGCTAATAGCTCTTCCCCGTGTGGAACCGGGGCAGAATGTTTCCACAGCACCCCATTGCTTGTCGTATGAGGCGACAAAATTGGGCAACCTGTTTGCCGTGGGTTGCGCCCCTGTGTCGGCGGAGGACGGGATTCTGGTGGTTGAGGGCATTGGAGCCAGGAACCGGTGTTCCCTTTGCCCAACACACCACTTTGACCCCTACTTCGCCTAGACGGGTGGTAGAATTAGCCCGATTCTATCAATCGGCTGGTCACGCCATGCCCTGTGCATGGAAAACATTCATGTTGAAATTCTTCTACATTATTTTATTGCTGTTCTTGAATGTTGTTAACCAATATGTTGCTAACCAAAATGTTATGATATAAATTTTTGCCTAGAGTCCAATGCCAGAAGGCGGTGGCTCATGGGCCAATCTGGTGTTGTTGACCTCCAAATTCAATATGCATCCATTTTCTTGTCATGGGCGGAACCAGCCTGGCATTTAATTTGGTATACAAATATTGCTATTTGTGTCATATTCGCTGGCGTATAACAACCCTGTATCCCTGGTGTTTGCATGCTGGAGATCCGATGCAATTTAACACTGTCCTTGTTGACGCTCCATGGTGGGTGGGGAGCAGGGTTGCTGAAAAAATTCCTTTTCAATATGGCTCACAATCACCCTGGTTCTAAACGAAGACATGTAGATACAAGTACATCTGATGAAGCTGATACACATGTTGATTCCTGGGCTCGATTCCTTGTGATCGAAGCTGCAGATCATGAACCAATCAAGTTAAACCCCTTTGCTATATCCAAAGCTGTACATGGCTATTGTGGGGAGGTTAAAAACGTTACACGTTTACGCAGTGGATCTCTTTTGGTAGAATGTGTGAGAAAGCAGCAATCTATCAATTTGTTATCAATAACTCAGTTTGCTAATGTGAATGTTACTGTTTCTGCACACCGGACGCTGAACTCCTGCCGTGGCATTGTCCGTGACAGGACACGTTCACTGTCAGATATGTCAGAAGCTGAAATTGTTTCAGAACTTCGACATCAAGGAGTTCAGTCAGTCAAGCGTTTCACCCGAAAGGCTGAAAAATCAAATTTTGTTAACACAAATACCTATCTGTTCACCTTTGACCGTCCAACTATTCCGAACTCTATTAAAGCTGGTTATGTCAACATCAGAGTGGAGGTGTATGTCCCCAATCCACTCCGATGCTATAAGTGTCAAAAGTTTGGACATGGTTCGAAAACTTGTACACGATCTATCGTTTGTAATCGTTGTGGTGGAAACCATGACAGTACGGACTGCAGTCTAGATTTAAAGTGCATCAACTGTGAAGGCCAACACATGGCCTCTTCCAAATCCTGCCCTGTGTATCAAACGGAAACACAAATTCTGAAACTAAAATGTGAACAAAACATATCTTTTACAGATGCTAGGAAGCTTGTCCATCAGTCAAGTTCTCCTTCAACTATAAACTACTCTGCTGCTGTGGCAAAGCCTGTTAAAACCACTTCATCTGTTCAGTGTCAAACCAATTTGACATGGGTCACTTCTTTTCAGCCAGTTGAAACTGCGTCAATCGCAAATATATCTGACATTCAAACTACAACATCCGAGAGTCAGACAAATCATTCCGTCAGTCCATGCGATATATCTTCAGCATCTCCGGTTGTGACTCAGGCTGTGGCCCCATCACCACCAACTCCGAAAATACCATCTTCTGTAATGTCAGCTCCAAACAAACCTTCTACGGATATGGAAAAAAAACAAAAGAAAAAACAAAGTAAAAAAATTACAACAAAGATTCCCACTGTCACTGAAACATCTGTAGATGTTCATAACTTTTTCGAGCCTCTTGAGATGGATGTTACCCCATCTTCACACCACAACAATAGTGGTGACTCATCTTCACATTCACGTGAGCGTTCTCCTATAGAACCACCATGAATCATTCTAGTCTAATTCAATGGAATTGCAGAGGGCTTAGGCACAACTTTAATGAACTACAGTTGGTTGATATGACATTTGAATCTGAAATAACATAATTAATTTCATTTATGCCAAGAAAGACATATTTTAGTTTGCCGGTTTGATCAAGCCGTTTTGGTATATGTACTGTGCTCCAAAATAATGATAACTCCCTGTTGTGTATTGCGAGCTCCAGCGATGAGCGTGAGTGACCCGCGATGGTCAAATGTGTGAGAATTTCTGTGTGTTGCAGAGAGTTAGCGGCTGAGCACTAATCTTCAGGTATGAAATACTGTTTTTTGTTTAATATATTATCATGTCGTAAATGCAAGTTTTGGAAATACGTCAACTTTATTGATAATTCATTTTGCATTTTTCAAAGAGCGTGTTGTTCGATTTTCAATCATCTTTGAGTGCTCAAAATATATGCTGGAAGTATTTGTAATGTTTTCAAGTATTGTTATATCACCTAAATGGTATAACTATTCTTTGTTGCGTAAATATCAGTCAAAGAAAATGTTTATTTACCGTAAATGTGAATTTTGTAGGGAGTTAAATTTAAGGAGAAATCCTTGTTTCAAAATGAAATGTAACCTTTATTGGGGATGATTTGGGTGAACATTATGAATGTTTGAATACTTTTCAAGAACTTTAATTGATTTATTTGCTTTATTATCACTAAAGAGTATATTTATTTTACTCTTCAGAACATATTTAATGTTACGAAGGACTCAGCCAATAAAGAGTGGTGAACACTATCTTCTCTTTATCATTTGTACCAAAACTTTCTGAAGATTATTTGAAGAGTTGGTACAGAGAAGAAATGAGTGATTCAGATGAATTAGCGTTGGAACTTGATGGAGTTGGACAGTTGTGGAATGGAAGTTCACAAGAGGCTGAAGGTGCAGGTGTTACCAATGTAAAAGAGAGAATGCAGATTGTGAAAGCAAAGAGAAAGGTGATTAAAGGGAAAATTACCAGAACTATAAATAGACTTAAAGACAACATGCAAACTAAAATGGTGAAAAAAAGAAGAATTTTAAAGGAGTTAGAAGAACTCAGAGCTGATTATACAAAGGCATGTGAATTACATGGAGAACTGTATGAGTATACAGAAGAGGCAAAAGTTGCAGGTTTAGATAAATGGGAGTCGGATCTAACCAATGATATCTATGGAATAGAAGAATTAGCAGAGGATTATCTAGCATCACTTGACATCACAGAACATGAAACAGAGACTGTGTCGAAGGGAAAGGGTAAATCTGTCAAGGTTCAAAGTGGTCCTTCAACATCATTTCAAGCTGCTGAAGATGATGACAGTGCATCTTATAAAGATAATGCATCTCAGGATGACAATACATCTCTTGCTGGATCAAGTGAAGGATTTGATGGGTGGATAACTTCACTGAAGGAGTATCAGGAGACTAAACACTGTCTAAGCAACACCCCGAACATGAGTTTAGCGGAGGCATTGATCAAGATTGAAGCCAGTAGGGACATACCTAATATCACTCTTCCTAAATATTCAGGGGATCCTTTGGAATATGTGAATTTCATGGAAAGATTCAAAATTCATATCCATGATAAAGCCCATTTAACAGATGCCATGAGACTGGTACAATTAAAGATGCATCTGACTGGTGAGGCTGAGAGGGCCATTGCAGGACTTGGATCTAGTGGTACCATGTACGCTACTGCCTTAAAAATGTTAAAGGAACAGTTCGGCCAGGAAAGTTATATTGCAAGAGCATATGTGAACAAGCTGACTAAGGGGAACAGAATACAGGGACGAGAGGCGCTGCGAGATTTCTCCTTAGATCTGATTAATTGCATAGCAACTTTAACACGGATGGGTTCCTTTGCAGATATAAACGCAAATGATAATTTGCGGCAGATAGTAATGCGTATGCCAGGGTACCTTATTGATAGATGGAAAGTGAAGGCATCTGATATCAGAGAAAGAGGTGAACGGCCGTCAATTCGCCATATCAGTGATTTTATCAGAAAACGGGTAAAAGCAGAGTTCGACCCAGACTTTGGGGATTTGGAAAGAAGAAGTGATTCCAGAAGGATAAAGGGGTTATATTCTCATCAGCAGATGAAGAGGGGGCCCATATGTTATCTTTGTTCTGAAGAACATAGAATCTCAGATTGCCCAACATTCACAGATTGTACTGTTCCAGAGAGGACTCAGAAGGTTCGAGACCTACGTCTGTGTTTTGGCTGTCTTGTCAGAGGCCATATTACGAGAGACTGTAAGACCAAGAAGGCCTGTGGTATCAACGGATGTTCACGTACACACAACAAGATGTTGCATTTTGACCCACAGGTGGCCAGTTCTATCATTGATACAAATAGTATTCTACCAGTGGTCAGGGTGATGTTTAAATCCTTAAATGGTAGGACCAGGGAAGGTAATGTCCTCATAGATGGAGGTGCAGGAACCACAATCATTCGCAAAGAATTTGCAAAATCACTTGGTCTCCAGGGTAACAAGGAGAGACTTGATCTATCACTTGTAGGATGTGAGAAACTTGAGAACATTAACAGTCGCAGATTGAAATTTTGGATTTCTTCACTTGAAAGCAGTGAGGCATTTGAAGTAGAAGCTTATGAGATTGATAAGACTGTTTTGAATGTTAAGCCTTTGGATAGAAACTGGTTGAGATCATTCTCACATCTTAACAACATCGAATTGTCGCACAAGGCGGGACCTATTGATCTCATCTTGGGAGTTCAGTATTCTCACTTGCATGCTGAAGAAGAGGTTCGTCAAGGTCTTCCATTTGATCCGATCGGAAAGAAGAGCAAGCTCGGATGGTATGTGATGGGTCCAGACAAAACTCAACGTTCAGTGATATGCTCAGTGAACTTTGTGGAGAAACTTAATCTTGACAAATTCTACCAGTTTGAAACATTGGGGGTACAAGCTCCAAATTGTAAATGTTCTGTTGAAGTACTCTCAATTGAGGATCGAGTAGCACTCAAACTGATGAAAGAATCGTGTCGCAAGGTTCAGGACAGATACGAGATTGGTCTTCCTTGGAAGAAGAACCCTGCCTTACTTCCAAACAACTATAATGTAGCCTATAGAAGACTTGTGTCTCTTGAGAAGAATCTCCTGAAGAATGACCAAAAGGCTAAAATGTATTGTGATGCTGTGAATGAGTATGAGCAGAAAGAATGGGCAGAAAAGATTGATGAACCCAATGTGAAAACTAGTGGTTTCCCAGTTTATTATCTTCCACACCATGGAGTTTATAGACCGGACAAGCCCAGTACCCCATTGAGAGTTGTGTTTGATCCGGCATGTGTGTGTGATAGTGTATCCCTCAACTCATATCTGTATAAGGGTCCAGGTCTCATTGGGAACTTGCTGAGTGTTCTTCTGAGGTTTCGAGAGGACAGAGTTGCTATAGTTGGAGACATCTCCAAGATGTATCTTCAGATCAGGTTGAGAGAGAGTGACACTCATTTACACAGATTCCTATGGAGAGACTTAGAGGTGGATAGAGAGCCGTCAGTGTACAGATTGCTCAGAGTGGCTTTCGGTGATAAGTCCTCTCCAGACATGGCAAGTTATGTAATGCTTCGAATTGCTGAAGAGAATGAGGACAGATATCCTGAGGCATCAGCAATTTTGAGAGACGACAGGTATATGGACGATCTGATTCATTCGTGTGAAACCCCAGGAAAGGCTACGAAGAAAATCAATGAGGTTAATGCTGTGTTAGCCACTGGACAGTTTCAGATCAAAAAGTGGTTTTGTTCTTCGCAGTTGGTTCGTGAACAGAGTAGAGAAAATCAACCACAAGCGTCTTCGTCTGTCAGTCTTGATGGTGAAGAAATCAAGACCTTGGGTATTCGATGGAATCCGGATACTGATAATCTGAGTTTTGCAGTCAAGAATCTGGTTGCAGAGAAATACACTAAGAGACAAGTTTTATCCAGAATGTCAATGTTGTACGACCCACTTGGACTAGCTTTAGCAATCACTATCAAAGCCAGAGTAGCTATGCAGGATATCTGGCGTCAGAAATCGTTGGATTGGGATGATGAGTTACCCAAAGAAATGTATGTTCAGTGGTCGAATCTGTTTCTGGAACTGCAAAGGTTGAGAGATGTTCAGTTTCCACGCTGTTTGAAACCTCCTGATTCCGTGAACACAACAACTCTACACGTCTTTGCAGACGCAAGCATGAAAGCCTATGGAGCTGCAGCATATCTCACATGTGCAACAGAAAATGAGACTTCAACACAGTTGATTATGGCAAAGGCTAGAGTTGCGCCATTGCATCAGACAACAATACCGAGATTGGAGCTTATGGCGGCATTGATTGCTTCAAGGTTGGCCACAACAATCAAAAGAGAAATCAGACAGAAGCTGTCAGATGTGATATTGTGGACAGACTCACAAATTGTGCTTCATTGGATCAGAGCAGAATCAATAACATTCAAAGCCTTTGTTGGTGTCCGCATAGCCGAGATACAATCTCAGTGGAATCAGACACACTGGAGATATGTGCCAACATATTGGAATCCTGCAGATGATCTTAGCAGAGGAATTTCTGTGGAGGAATTGAATGGTAGCTGGATGAATGGGCCAGAATTCTTGAAGTTACCAGCTAATGAGTGGCCAACCCAGCCATGTGATGCAGCAACTACTGAATCCAGTGAGGAGAAAAGGAAGTGTCCAGCTATTGCTGCTTGTGCACCAATCAACCCTGTCATAGAAGCAGATAAGTTTTCATCATGGCAACGACTTCTGCGAGTTACAGCATACTGCCTAAGGTTTGTCAGGAAACTCAAGGACAAGATACATAAGGTTTCACAACTAGGGGATAATGCTATAACAGTGAGTTGTGAAGAGATGAAAGCAGCTGAATTGTATTGGATCAAGTGTGTCCAACGTGGAATGAATGATTGGAAGAGTGACTTCTGTGATCTAGCTCCCTTTGAGGAAAAGGGTATTCTTCGAGTAGGAGGTAGACTCAGACATTCTCCACTGCAGTATGATCAGATTCATCCAGTACTATTGTCTCCAGGTCACCACGTATGCAGATTGATAATGTGTGATGTTCATGTGCAAATGGGTCATGCTGGTCCAGAGAGAACATTGTGCGAGAGTAGGAGATATTTTTGGATTGTGCGTGGGCGGAACCTAGCCAAGAGTATTGTGAGAAATTGTGTTGTGTGCAGGAAGTTACGTCAGCCTGGTCATACCACTCTGATGGCTGACTTGCCTCCAGAAAGATTGCTTCCATTCTCACCACCATTCCATGTAACAGGAGTTGATCTCTTTGGACCAATGTCAATCAAGTATGGTAGGAACAAAACCCAAAAGGTATGGGGAGCAATCTTCACGTGCGCGAATGTGAGAGCGGTTCACTTAGAGATAGTGGATGGATTGTCTACTCAGGCATTTCTACAAGCATTGCGTCGTTTTGTATCAAATCATGGATGGCCACACACAGTTATTTCTGATAATGGCACATCGTTTGTTGGAACCGAGAGAGAACTTCGTACCATATTCATAGAAGGCAAACAACAAATGATGGACTTTGCATTGCTGCACAGAATCAATTGGAAGTTCATCACGCCTTTGAGCCCACACCAAGGTGGAATCTATGAAAGTTTGATTAAACAAGTGAAAAGATCTCTTAAGGTCATCATCGGTCAACAGATTCTCAGCTGGAATGAGTTATCAACTGCATTTGCAGAAGTGAAAGGTTTGCTGAACGCAAGACCATTGTATTATACAGCACAGGATCCTAATGATCCACAAGCCCTAACACCCAACCACTTCCTGTTAGGGAGAGCTTCCATAAATGTTCCACAAGGACCGTTCCAGGAGACAAAGAACCTGCATAAAAGGTTTGAATATGTGCAGATGCTGGTGGAACAGATTTGGAAGAGGTTTCTACGAGAGTATCTACCAACTCTCATGCGTAGGAGCAAGTGGCGTACACAGGGGAGACAACTCCAGATAGGAGATATTGTTCTGCTCATGGACAACAATGCACCAAGAGGAAAATGGGACTTGGCAAGAATCGTTGATTTATTTCCAGGAAAGGATGGTATAATCAGAAATGTCAGAGTTCGCACCAAGAACGGTGAATACAACAGATCAGTACAGAAATGCTGTCTGATCCTGGAATATTTCACATAGACTGTTTTCAGATGGCACTTGGTTGCCCCCGGAGGATTTGGTTGATATGACATTTGAATCTGAAATAACATAATTAATTTCATTTATGCCAAGAAAGACATATTTTAGTTTGCCGGTTTGATCAAGCCGTTTTGGTATATGTACTGTGCTCCAAAATAATGATAACTCCCTGTTGTGTATTGCGAGCTCCAGCGATGAGCGTGAGTGACCCGCGATGGTCAAATGTGTGAGAATTTCTGTGTGTTGCAGAGAGTTAGCGGCTGAGCACTAATCTTCAGGTATGAAATACTGTTTTTTGTTTAATATATTATCATGTCGTAAATGCAAGTTTTGGAAATACGTCAACTTTATTGATAATTCATTTTGCATTTTTCAAAGAGCGTGTTGTTCGATTTTCAATCATCTTTGAGTGCTCAAAATATATGCTGGAAGTATTTGTAATGTTTTCAAGTATTGTTATATCACCTAAATGGTATAACTATTCTTTGTTGCGTAAATATCAGTCAAAGAAAATGTTTATTTACCGTAAATGTGAATTTTGTAGGGAGTTAAATTTAAGGAGAAATCCTTGTTTCAAAATGAAATGTAACCTTTATTGGGGATGATTTGGGTGAACATTATGAATGTTTGAATACTTTTCAAGAACTTTAATTGATTTATTTGCTTTATTATCACTAAAGAGTATATTTATTTTACTCTTCAGAACATATTTAATGTTACGAAGGACTCAGCCAATAAAGAGTGGTGAACACTATCTTCTCTTTATCATTTGTACCAACAGTTATTAACAACAGATTATATTCCATCAGCAATTTCTTTACAAGAGACGTACTTAAAAAATACAGATAGATTTGAATTAAGGCAGTATAGTTCCTATCATTCTTTTTCTCCTCCAGGAGATAAAGCTACTGGAGGTGCTTCTATCTTGGTGCGGCGGGGCGTTGTTCACAGTCCTGTTCCGCTTGACACGAATTTGCAAGCAGTTGCAGTTAGACTTACACTGCATATTGCCTTCACACTTTGCTCCTTATACATTCCTCCATCTTCACATCTTCAGCGTACTGATCTACAAAAACTATACGACCAGCTCCCAAAGCCCTGTGTCATCATGGGTGATCTAAATGGGCATAATCCTTTATGGGGAGGTTCAACCATTAATCAAAAGGGAAAAGTGATCGAGGATTTTGTTTCAGATAATGATCTTTGCATTTTTAATGATGACTCTGACACTTACTTACACCCTGCTACTGGTACGTATTCATCTTTAGATCTGTCTTTGACGGATTCAGTTTTGTTAAATGAATTCTCATGGTCCGTCCATGATGACCTATGTGGGAGTGACCATTTCCCCACGGTGCTTAAGCCCATTAATCCCGCTGATGATCCACCTTCACCTCGATGGAATTTTGTGAAGGCTGATTGGCTTTTATTTCAATCTTTATGCAAAGATAAATTACAACCTACGTCTTTTCAGAATGTTACTGACCCAATTCAGTTGTTTTCAGATCTACTGAATGAAATTGCTAATGAATCAATACCTAAGTCCTCGATCAACCCACGTGTTCGTAAACCGTGGTTTGATGACACTTGCAAACACGCTAGGAAATGTCGTAAGAAGGCGGAGAAGTACTTCCGTAAACATCCCACTGTCCATAATTTAAATATTGTAAAAATTTCAAATGCCAAGGCGAGACGTCTATTCAAACAAAATAAACGTCAATCCTGGCGGATTTATGTCTCAAAAATTAACTCTCGTACCCCTATGTCCAAGGTATGGAACATGATTAAAAAGATCAAAGGCAAGGGATCAAATTCTACAGTTAACCATCTGAAGGATGGCGATACTTTGTTAACCGATAAATCTGCCATTGCCAATAGCATTGGTGAAACTTTATCTCATCATTCTTCTTCATCTAATTACGCTCCTGAATTTCAAAAATATCAGCTTCAACAGGAAAAGAAAAAAGTAAATTTTACATCTGATAATGGTGAAGATTACAATGAGGTATTTTCAATACATGAGCTATATACTGCCTTAGGGCAAGCTCATGATACAGCAGCAGGCGCTGATAATATTCATTATCAGCTGCTGAAACACTTGCCCGAATCATGCCTTGAAACTATGTTAAATATATTCGATGATATTTGGACATCTGGGATGTTTCCAGCTTCATGGCATAAAGCCATTGTTATCCCCATTCCCAAACCTGGGCGGGATCATTCTGATCCATCAAATTACCGACCTATCTCTTTAACTAGCTGTGTTTGTAAAACGATGGAACGCATGGTAAATAATCGATTAGTGTGGTACTTGGAAACAAATAATCTTCTTTCCAATATACAATGTGGTTTCCGGAAAAATAGAAGTACTATCGATCATTTAGTGCGTTTAGAATCGTTCATTAAAAATTCCATTGTAAATAGACAACATGCTGTATCGATCTTTTTCGATTTAGAAAAAGCTTACGATACAACATGGAAACATGGTATTTTAAAAGATCTTCATGATTTTGGATTAAGAGGCCGTCTGCCTCATTTTATATCCCAGTTTTTAACAGACAGGCAATTTCAAGTCCGAGTGGGTACAACCCTGTCTGATCATTATAATCAGGATCAGGGTGTCCCACAAGGCAGTATTTTGTCTGTCACTTTATTCAGTATAAAAATTAACAGTTTGTCAAAAGTTTTAAATGATTCAGTTGATGGATCACTTTTTGTGGATGATTTTAATCTATCTTGTCGTGGTAAAAATATGCACACTATAGAAAGGCAATTACAATTATGTCTTAATAAAATTAACAAGTGGTGTCTTGAAAACGGGTTTAAATTTTCCAAATCAAAAACTAATTGTATTCATTTCTGCCGAAAATATAAACCGCATAAGGACCCTGAACTATTTCTGAATGGCACCCCTATCAAAGTTGTTAAGGAGGCCAAGTTCTTGGGACTTATTTTTGATAGCCACTTAACTTTCCTTCCACATATTAAATACCTTAAAGCTAAATGCCTGAAGGCTCTCGATCTATTGAAAGTTGTTTCTAATTCAAAGTGGGGAGGGGATCAGACAACCCTCTTACACTTATATCGATCACTGATCCGTTCTAAACTTGATTACGGCTCCATCGTCTATGGTGGAGCATGTAAAAGTAATCTAAAAAAACTAGATACCATCCATCACCAAGGTCTGAGGCTTTGCCTTGGTGCCTTTCGCACTTCTCCTATTCCAAGTCTGTCTGTTGAAGCGGATGAGCCTTCTCTTAAACAACGCCGTGTGAAACTATCATTACAATACATCACTAAATTATATTCAAATCAGTCCAATCCAGCTTTTAATTGCGTCTTCAATCCTCTTTACCAAGATATTTACAATAACAAGTCATCTCTTGTTCCACCACTCGGAATCAGAATCCAGTCTGCCCTGTTTGCTTCCAATATTCAACTGCAAGATATAGCTCCAACTCAACTGTTTTCAACACCTCCTTGGCAAATGGTACGGCCAGAGGTTGACCTTACATTAACAAAATTAAAGAAATCAGACACTAACGACTTAATTTACCAACAAGAATACAGTCAATTAAGAAACAATTATGACACTTATAAATCTATATTTACAGATGGATCCAAGGATGGTGGCGCAGTTGCTAGTGCCACTGTCATTGGATCCAGAACAATATCTTCACGTTTACCTGATAACAGTTCAATATTCACAGCAGAAGCAAACGCCATTTTTACAGCACTTAAATATGTCAGTCGTCAATCTAAACATAAACAATTCATTATTTTTTCTGATTCACTTTCATGTCTTCAGGCGATTAAAAATATGTCACCCAAACATCCACTTTTCATCCAGATTCTCGAATTAATTAATAATCTTGCGACTGGCCAGTACGACATCGTCTTTTGTTGGTTACCTAGCCACGTTGGAATTATTGGTAACACAATGGCCGATGCTGCTGCTAAAGCAGCACTCAACAAATCTGTGACACCACTTCTGATCCCATACACTGATTTTAAACCCATGATTCGATCTTACATCAGAGATCTTATGCAACAGAAGTGGGACACCCAAGTAGGTATCAATAAATTACATGAAATTAAACCAAATATCGGTTACACCTACTTGGGCTGTCAGTCCAGATTTGAAGAGGTCATTATGCGACGATGTCGTATTGGCCATTCACGATATACACATGAGTATCTTTTAAATGGTGAGGATCCTCCGTTTTGCATCCCTTGTGATGAAAGAATCACAGTCAAGCATGTCCTGCTTGATTGTATTGATTTTTCCATCACAAGGGATAAATATTATAGTGTCAAAACAATCAAGGACCTTTTTAGTCAAGTTAATTCTCATTTAGTATTGCACTTTTTAAAGGAAATTGATTTAATACATAAATTTTGATGTACATAATATGTTTTTATATATTGGTAGTGCTAATATATAACTTAGATTGTTAGTTGCTGTACCCTCGAGGGGGGTTGAAGTAGCGTAAAATTATTGTCCCCCTAAGAGGGTATGTAAGTCCCACATCATTCAATGTATTGTTATGCATACCAGAATTTTAAAACGTAGTATTTTTGTCATTTTAATCTAAGGCTTAACTGGTCAACTATCGCCAGTGACTGAAGGACTGATATAAATCCAGCCAGGGTCCATGCAGGAAGCAAATGCACTGTAAGTCCCCATGGTCCCTGGTATGGTGTTCTCCCTTTAGTTACTGACGATCTCTAGCCCCTTTTTATATTGTGTTGTTAATTATTTCTGCTTTTATATGTTCCTCAACTAGTTTTAATACACTTTGTGATATTCTAGTTATTGTACTGTCCTTTGCTGACAGGTTTTTTTATAAATTATCTATACTTATTTGTTATTAATGTATTAATTCTCGTCACGATATGGCTGAAATATTGCCCATGTGACGTTAAATAATAACTCACTCACTCACTTGCGTCGTACCAACAGCTCTTTCTCTCTCTTCTGTATAACGGTTAAACGTGGCATTTCGTTCTACGTAGCCACGATTTTCATAAAATATTGTCAATTGTTCCTGCTCTTTGTCACCGAATACATTTGGATGTATTCGTGCGACATATTTAAATCTTAATTTATATTGTTTTTTTAAGTTATCAAAATGGTGGAAATTCTAGTTGGTGAGTATGGTTTTGCGCTGCTTTTAACAATATTCCAGAAATATCACGGCGGTAGATACCACAAATGGGCTTCACACATTGTACCCATGTGAGGATTCTAACCGGGGTCTTGGGTGTGACGAGTGGACACTAAACCACTGGGCTACCCAACCGCCCTCCAAAAAATGAACACAAATGACACTGACATTGAAACAAAGAGCCAGGTTCAGTGTATGTCTTGTTTTGTTTTGTTTGTATTCATGGTACAAGAAATAACAAACGTTCCTCCTTCAACCATGGAAGCGTATTAGTGCCACATTCTGAAAAAATAATGTCGTCTACGTTGTTGCATAATAAATTTTAACTTTACGCAGCCTGTAGCTTCTCAGCTATCAGAACGCTTGTGTAGGGAGAAGAGTCACATCACATGGGCGGATACAGAGTGGTGCGGGGGTGCGCACCCCCCCCCTTTTTATTTCGAAACAAATCATTATTTCTGTATAAATTACCACCAAAGACAATAGATAGATTTTAATTGTGCACCCGAGGCCCATTATTTTTAAGGAATGAAGATTTACGAGGATATTCCCCTACTTAAAACTCATCCCTACTTTTACACTTTGA